TATATCCGAACTTAAACAGTAAAATGAAAATATTTGAGAATATATGTAATGAATTGGGAGATTGATTGCCAATACTAGAATTGTTTCCCTTCGGAAACCTGCATATCCTTTTTTTTTAATATAAAATTTTGTAAAAAATGAAAATAATGAAGGAGCTTCAGTTATTTGGAAATTTCGTGGTTCAGTAAATTGTCCTTGTAAAAGGGTCCGACTTTAAGGATACTTGAGGAAATTTAGGGGTATTTCTGATTATTACTTTAAAATTGGTGATAAAAAGACGTGGCCACGAACTAAAAATTTTGACAAAAGTTAGGGGTAAAAAATTAATCTTGATAGGAATATCGAGAAAATTGTAAGGCAAGGGGATTGAGATGTGTTGCAGTTATAAATATATTTGTGTTCATATCACGTTAGAAAATCTATTTCTGTTAAAGAAATCAAATTAAAAAATTACGTAAAAATGGGAAGGAGCGGATGCTGAAAAATTATTTCATGTAAATCTAGCCGTTGGCAGTTACTTACTGTAGTAAATAATATCATATTTCAGCAAAATTCTAATTTATTTATTTATCGATCGATAGCAATAATACACTCTTCATTGAAACATAGATTTTACATTTCTCAAGACCTCAACAGTTATTCTCCGGCATTCGGCGGTACTTTTTTGTAATTGTACAAATTTTCGTTGAGAGACATTGTAAAAGATTGGGCCATTCCTCCAGGATTAAATCAAAGGGCAAAGCTCGGAATCTCTAAGACGATAATATTTAATTAAGTCGAAGAGCACGTATTTACCCATCAGGGCCTGAGCGCATTAAATTGGAGGAATTTACCGTGATAGACAAATGACGAGCAATATTTAATACAAACTGTTATTTTATAATTTCACGAACGAACTAATTTATGAAATATAATTAGCTCGGCGCGAAGCGATTTTAATTAACGGATACTTATTAATTGATCAGGACAACTAAATAAACGCGTGCTCGTCCAACCCGATTTTATTAATTTCGACAACGAGGATCGTTAATTAATTTCCGGACATTTCCATCAATTCCATAACTGAAAATTTCGCTTCATTTCAGCAGTAGAAAATTTGTTAATCAAGTCGCAGCATCCGAAATTAACGTGGGCGTTACAAAGCTTGATAAATTACTATTAATATTCAACGGGTATTGCTTTTGAGGGTTGAGCATATAGCTTTAGTCGAGCTCATGCGATTTCCGCGGGGATTAAGCTGATGTCGTACCTACGCCGTAACGTCATTGCAAATGCCAAAAGGACACATTTTGCTTTTAGGTGAAGAAGCTTTCGTTTATTTTATTAACCACGCCTGATTTCTTACACCTTTATTGTGAAGCTTTACGGCTATCAGTAAGAACTAAAAGCTGACTCGCGATTTGAACTTTAAAAAAAGGACTTCTTCAAATAAAATTAGCTAACGCGTAAGAAACTTCAAATTGAGCAAATATAATCATAAAAAGTTCTGAGAAAGGGCTTGGGATAATGCTCGAGAGTCCTGAAGATGCTTTCTGGTGCTTTTCAGTTAATTTGGTTTTCTAAAATTCCGAAAATTATCTGCACAGGTCCCTCAGAAACCCTAGTACTGTGACAGAGTGCAACCTTACACAACTCGACAAATCGTTTAGGCGATTTTCCAGAACCATTTAAAGCCGGTAATATGCATTCATCAGTCCTGCGAAATTCAATGGGTTTTCCATTCATAAAAAACCAACATTCGTGGAATTTCGTTTCGAATTAATTAAATCTCTTTCAAGCTTTGACGTGAAAGGATTAGAAGGTGATATTTGAATGCAAATGCAAACTTTGAATCTCATTCAATTTTTCTATGGCCTTAATGCTGTAGCTACTTCCTGTTTTATTATTTTTTTAATCTCTCGTATGACAGTATGTAGAGAAATATTACTAGTTATCGCTGTGTACTTTATTCAGCAGCTCTTGAATCTATTTTGTATACCTAAGACACTTTCCAAGTAAATGGCTGATCATCTTTACAGTAGAACAGGTTTAGGGTTTCCACAATTACCTTCATTAGGAGAGTTACAGCATACGCATATTTTAGCACTCGTACAATTACTTGCTGAATGGCCAAACTTTTGGCAGTTAAAGCATCTTATTGGCGAGAGTATGCATGGTCTTCCTTGTAAAATGCTGCCTTAATTGATTTCGGTACACCGTCCCTTTCAAAACTTATGACATGATTAACCGTAATTCACTTAATTTTAATTCTTTAGACTTCTTTCGCATTTGCATTACTTTCTGAGCTACCTATTTGACCTCACCTAACAAAAATCCTTCACTATTCTAATACTATTAACGTCTCCTATCACACCAAACATTGATTTAGCTACAAGAAAGGGACTTACTTGGTCGAAATCACCGTTCTGTCTTTAAATAAGAGGGATTTTCCTGCCTATTTGTTTCGGCGGCCTTTCCACCTTTTTTGTCAGGTGTATTTACATGCACCATGTCATGTTTAGAAGTTTTATTTATTTATTTATTTATTATCCCTCTCTGGTTCTGGGCCCTCAACAGGCTTGCGCCCAATTACAGAGTGACCCGCATAATGCTTTTTAGAGGTGCTTCTGCAGAAGGTCTTAAGTTGTTCTATACTACTCTGGTATTTACCTTACGAATTAGGAAAACTGCAGGAAAACCTAATTCGGAGTACCCGGCAGAATGCTCGAAACTGGTCTAAGGTAATTTCCATCTCTGCCACAGATGAAAACTTCACCTCAACCCAAGTTCGAACACCCGACCTCCGGATTTATAACTCAACGCTCTATCATTGAGCCATAATGCCGGTTAAGAAGTTATATGGCATCTGCTTTTTGTAAATACTTCTATCTAAACCTCAAATTTGTAAACAGTGTTGTAAGGTTTTTAGTATAACCCCGGTAGCACTATCTAACGATTTATTTTCCTGATTAGAAGCATATATTGTTCCCGGTATATTTACTTGTCGAATGATCCTCGTAACAGTTGTAACGTTGGAATTTTAAACACGCAATTTTACGACGCTACGATTTGTCGTTATCGACGGTTAACATTCATTGTCTCATTCGTTCGTGAACTGTGACAGAGTGCACTTCATTTTTAATCAAACAGCGAAACGCATGGGATGTTAACTGGTGCCGTACATATGCATTAATATTTGGCGATTAAATTCGGTTAATATGGGGATTCCGCATCAATTTGTGAATGGAATTTCACTCCAGTAGGAGGATATAGTTGGGTTATTCTTCTTCATTGTAAGTACGCCATTTGCATTTAATCTGCTTGACTTATATCTTCTTTAGGTTCCGGCTGATATTTAATACGATTTTTCATCGACGATTGTTGCACGTTCATCTATAATTAGCCCTCTTATTTAAAGAGGTATGTACATTTTAATGTTAGCAACGATTTTTTCTAGGGTTTTTAATTTTAGTTCTAATTTTGGATTCAAATTTTCATTTCGAGTTTTAAAATTTCGTTTGAATCGTCGTTACTAGTCTAAAGGACCAGTTCGGATACGTCTTACGTACGAATTTGAGGTAACCTTGGCCTTATCCTTCTGGATAGGTTGGTCGGAAAAGTATCGTACTTACTAAGCTTACTACGAGTAAGGCGATACCCTTCAAAGATTGTTCAGTTCATTGAATTCTGCGGTTTGGGAGTTCTTTGGTTACAAATTTTATGGTTCCAGGAATTGAGCTCACTTCTCTGGATAACATCTGATTAAATTAAAGTAAGCATTGTCTTTTTTATGTTTTGCTTGTACTTGGCCTAAACGTGCTCATTTGTGTTCGGATTAATTTCTTTGTGGAAATTTGTGTTAAGATCGGGTACTAAATTTAATCGATCATTCTTGATTGGAGCTTTTTAAAACTGGTATAATATGTCAATTGCAAAGTCAAGTTACTAAGATTTTTGTGTGTGACGTAACTTATACTTTTGATATTTGAATTGCAACCTTGGTGAGTGCAACTAAGATTCCGAAGATTATTTTACTCCAGAACAAACTACCGCTGTAGAAGATTCTCAAGCTCTTATTTTGTGTGTTACCCTGAGCTCGCTACTCGCTTTACTTATATGAAATGCATATTTACAGAATAGGAAACCAATTCAGGATTATTTAATTAAAATACGCTGTGGAAGCCCCAGGCGAATAATAGATTTAAAACCCTCTAAAAAGATTAAATGGATTTTTCATTTTGCTTTGAGATTAAGTTTCGATTTGTAGATTGCCCAACTTTATTTTGCTTTTTCTTAATCACTTCTGTTTGTAGACTTCAGTGGTAATTTTCCGCCTCCTTTTACCTCACTTTCCTTGTAGCCAACCATTGTACGACGTGTAATCCGGATTTTTCATGCAACTATTCAAAAACACCTTCATCCCTAAACCGCAATATCCCCACCCCTCCACATTTATGTCTTCCTTCTTCTATGATACTCACTCTACAATTGTTAAATGCTATTTCACACGCTTTTACGGCTATTCAGCTTTCTGCGTATTTCACGCACGAATTACGCTCTTAGAACAATAATAAAATGTGTAAGTAATACCATATGTAAATGTGAGTGTTTGTGCCCTCCTTTTAATTACAGTTAAATCGGGGATTTTGTTTTGTCTAATCCTTAAAAACAAGCAAAAATGTCCATACTAATTTCGAGCTCATCAAACCAGCTCCAATTTCGCGAAAATAATGCGCAATATTGCTATTATGCACTGGAATAAAATTCCAAAATTGCGCTGTGCTGATATAAAAATGTTGCCCAATTAATTGAGCTTTATTTGTGTCAGAATATGCATCAATGAATTGTTGAAAAAATGGTTTTTTTTGTTCGTAAATTTAAAGTGTGTCTTAATGGCAAAAAACTCCGAATACCTGCCACCTTTTTAAGAGAACGAATTGAATATACGGATAAAAGAACTTCAATAGCGTTAATTGCAATGTAACGTAAGGCTATAAATCTAAGAAAATGTTTTGTTGCAGTGTTTCGACAAGGCGACACCGGAAAATGTTGGTATGCAGTAATGGGAGGTATCCTGGATGTGAGAATTACCCAACCAGAAGCAGACGCAAAGGTACCGTTAAATTATTTTTTAAATAAAACACTGTCGATTTCTTTGTGCGACACGACAATGAAAATTGTAATTATTGTAATTAACGTTTCATTTCGCGAAAGTAGTTAACTTTACGGCTACTAAAATACGAAAGCGAAATGCTTAACTGCGACTCAATTAATTTTATTAAACGGTAAGCTGCTGGTAATCCTGCATAATATGTCACCATAATACGAATCCTTTCATAACTCGCGCGCGAAAATTACCACCCACAAAATTTGTTTTCTCTACTTGATGCGTTAGCCCGTTTTCGACCCCGCACAAACGTAGAAATTGAAATTTTAGTAGCTAATTAACAATTCGGAATGGCGAGGTTGGTACGCTACCAGCGCGTTAATGTTATTACATTCGAGCTACTATTAATAGCTAAATTTACTGCCCGAATTGTCGTAGCGTCGTTTACGTCATCCAAATTAATTACCAAACTTAGTTAACCATTTAAATTCGTTAGCAGAAGGCAAACTTCTCCACAATATTCGTCAAGTTTTCAACTATGCCTGTATCTAGGGAGGGTGGGTTCAGTTTTTACTACGAAAGGCGAAGGGGTGGATGAAGTCTTGAGCAGCTTTTTGTTTCCTTTTGTGTTTTTTTAACGACACAACAATGAGTCTATTGATTACATTACAATTAGCTTTCAATGATTTTCCGCTTTTTCGTGGTTAGCTTTCATTTAATATCCATAGTTGCTCGCTTTAATTAATTAAGCACATACAGTTAATCGATATGAAAAGAAATTAGTATGAACAAGTAGCGTTTGATTAATTACTCAAATTGAACACATAGACGTCCAATTTTGATTGATGGAATGATGCCTAAGATGAATAATTGAATGGCAAAACAACCTTTCACAAATCAACCCAACTAATCTTAACCAACCCGCGATTTATTTAATTCCGGTAGAAATCCTAGCTTAATTAAAGTATGATGAGGACTTTAATCCACTAAAATGCGGTTGCCGAAATAGATGGCAAATTGTTTCACTTCCAAAAAAGAACCAAGGAACATTTGTTCCATTACGTAAGGTATGTAGTAAGGAGAAAAAATTCTCAAAAATTTGTTTGCGTAGTGAGTAATATTTTTATGAGACCACTTGCAGATCGTAACAGATTAAGAAAAAGTGCGTTTCAAATTAATTTCATTTTATTTATTTCATCCCCTTAAGTGGGACTTCTGCCTTTCTTAAAAATTTAAATGGCAGGAATAGTCGCGAGATGCATTCTTTTCAAGCTCTTTGCATGTCTAGGTGTATTTCCATACAGTGATATTCATTTAGAAGTAGACATAAGAATTTGGGTATTGCTTTCCGTATGTCTAGTTTTAAATAACAAAAACTTCTGAAAAACCCCTAATTTTATGCAACCAAAATAACTTTAGAACACAAATGAAGATCTGGCTGTCACATTAATGAATTGGAATATTACTGCTTTGGTTTCCGTATTTTTACTTTCGTGCAATGTATCCACAGAAGAAAATCTTGACACTTGTATTTAAATATGTTTGCGGGAACTTCCAAAAAATCAAGTCAAAACTAAAAGCTTCCGTCACAGTACCCCCTGCTGTTTTTTTTAAAACGAATAACACCTGATAATAAGATTCAAAAAACAACAACAAAGTTACAACAATATCTAAAGAATCAAACATTCTAAAAACTACTCCAAAAAAAATTTTAAACCTAGCAATAGCAAAGTCAAAAAACCTGACTAACTATCCACAAAAATCTCTCTAAAAGTTTAAGAAATTCAATATAAAAAATCCTGAAAACCTATCCAATAAAAATGAAATTAATTCTTCTTCATTCTTTAAATATTCTTGATGTAAAAAGGCTATTGTCCTCTTTTGTCTTTTCAAGTTTCAAATGTAACTCTGGAACTTTCAGAAGATCTTCTTGAGCTCTGATTAGCCCTTCTTCTAATATTTCTGCTGGCTTCCTACATTTATTTAGCTCGTCCACCCCCATCCAACTTCCTTGAAATGAATGTGTGACTCTTCACTATTCCTTTTTCTTCATCTCCTTCAATTTCTTCTTTAAATTGTTTGAAATCTTCAATTAAATTTCTTAAATTTTCATCTTAGTTCTTTAATCTCTTGAATTACAATTTCTTTGGCTGCTATTTCTTTGTTGTATTCTTCAATTGTATTTATTTCTTGTTTTTTTCTAATTTGTGTCATGAATGACAATCAGTCATTTGCTAAATTTCTAGGTGTTCCTATTGATCCCAAATTCGCTTTTAGGTATCATCTGGGTAAGTTTATGAAAACCTGCAATTTCTACTTTAGTTATTCTGCAAAAGTCTAAAAGCTCTCGAAATTTAAAATTCTCACAAATTGGAAGAAACTGGAAAAGTTGAAGAATCGGAATCTGAAGATTTGAGGTATTTGATTAATCTGAAAAAATAAATAATTGGGAGCAGCTCTAGGATTTCAAATATCTATACAATTTGAAGAAACTCTACAAGAAAAGGTGAAAAATATGAAGAATTTGAATACACATTTCACTCCCAGTGAATCACCCCTGTAGATAGTTTACTTTATTAACGATCCTCAAGATAAACAATTTTCTACAAAATCCATCGGATAAGCATTCAAAATGTGTGGGCTCAACAAATACCCGCACAAAGTGGAAAGCACTTAATTTTTACAAACTTTAATTAAGTACCAACATTGTCTCCGGGATATTCAGAAACTCTCCGAACCTGAACCTGCGGTTTAAAACTTAGTCTAATCTTTCCTCTTGTTGAACAATCGTACAAATGTTTGGTACCTCGCGGAATAATTTAACTTGGGAATTAAACTTCTTAAACCATGAAATAAACTACGAACAAACTTATGTTCGAAAAAGAAGAGGTCCTTTAAGGTTTATAAATTACCGTCGTACTCGCAAGGCGGGTAACTTTGTTTAGGGCAAGGGGATCCCGCGCGCATTAATTAAATTTGCCCAGCTATTTTTATTAGAGAAAATCTCGAGGGGTCCGTGACAAGTTTCTCCGAGTAAATCATAATGTAGGATGACACGTTTTGTGTCCATTAGCGTATGAAAAAGTGAGATTTTCCCCACACGTCAGACTACATTTGCGAGATGTATACGAATTGCAGAAATTATAATCTCAAGGGAGGAAGCTGACTTATTAGAATCCAGCGAGATTTATTCATATTCGGCCTCGTTTCATTAAGGAATCGCTGATATTTAATATCGTTCGCAAACGTAGAGTTTTCTGTTCAAAGCTTTGATCCTTACGTACGAGTTTAATTTCGTTCGGGTACTTCTCGTACACCCCAATAAATTTAATTGGATATGTCAACTGCTGGGCGTAAAAACACGAGGAAGTAAAGTGGAAAGAAGTGCTGTGAATAAAGTGACCGGTTTTATTTTTACCTTCTTCAATAGCTAGAACACTATTAAACACCGTCGTGTGGTTTTAAAAAATATTGGGGAGCATAATGACAAATATCATCATCTTGTCATCTCTGTTGGGCAAAATATACATTATTATATTATATTATATTATCTTCTACATATTTTAGAAAACTTCCTGCACGTTAGTCCAAGAATTTTTATTTGGTCAGGGCATAAATGAATATAGAGATTATCATTGAGAAGGTGACGCCGTTAACTGTTGTCTCTGGAAAAGTGAACACCTCCTGAGATTATGGTGTTAGAGAAAGTTTATTTTTCCAAAGCACAAAAAACAGAAAGAGAGAAAGAAAAGGGTTACCCTCAGAAATTATGTGGAATGTAGTGATGATGGTGGATAGGATCAAATATTAGAAGATACTTTATGCAATAGCAAAAAAAAAACGCTAAACGGGAGATCTCACACAGTTCATTTATGAGCGTTTGCAGAGCTTTCATAGAAAAATTCCCCAGACTTTAGTTTCAATTACTTAGTGGTAAACAGGGTGGTAAATGATACATCTCTTCGCAAGGAAATTTGCTATGTTTCTATAGTAACACATTTTTTAAATGTATTGCAATATCAAATGAAATATCTTGTTAAATACAGCAAAAATGTGTCATTTTTCATACGTAGAATTTTCCATTATGGAAATAAATGCTCGAAAAACTGTAACTATAGAAACAGAATTATCCTTCGCATTTCCAACAAAAAAAAATTAAAAAGATGTGTATGTGAATGTAATCCCGCCGCAAAATCTCAATCCCGATATTTGCGGGATTGTTAGATGTTAATCCCGCGGGATACCGGTATTTGCGGGATCCCGAAAAACTTTAAATAAATTGGCAAATAAGCAATTTCTGTGCGGTTAACTTCTGTATTACAATAAATCGCTAATTATCACAATATTTAACAAGAAAGTACCTATGGCCTAACTTAGACGGTTTTTTCCAGGAAACATCAAAATTTGAGTGAATTAAAAAAAAATTATCCTGACTTAAAACCAAGATCGAGTGTATTTTATGGAAATTAATAAAAGACAGTAAATTTTACAACCACTATATATTTTACGCATTCATACGCGCATTTTTATCGCTGATAAAAAGCTTCATACCGTTTAATCGCTGATAGAAAGCTACCTAGCTTTTAATCAGATACGAAATCATCTGATTGGTTAGAATTTGAAACGATTTTGTTTTGTTTGGGGTAAATGTTTCATAATTGGAATTGGTGTTAATAATTTTTAACGGCCTACTAATTTATTTATTTAAGTATATTAGTGCTAATAACAATAGTTTTATACAAATCAATTGAGTCAACAGTAATAAACATATGTAACATGGCATTATAAATAGATGCTAACATGCTAAAAGATACTTCAAACTCACAACATTAAATATATAAAACACAAATACATAAAATATCACAATTCAAATGATAGCTGACTTTCACATTTAGAAAATCACCAAAGTTGTAAAAGGCCTATTCGATGAGGTACGTTTTTGAAATCTATGCTCAGGATTTGTTTTATAGAAACTGGTAGTTTGTTATAAAACTTAATCCCATAACAATTCCAACCATTAAGCTGATTATATCAATCCCTAATAATTCAGAATCCCGAGAATTACGTTAATGGAAATTGATATTGTAATGGTTCCAGCGCCAAATGGGGTAAAC